ACCTTCCACCACGCTACTGAGCGTGCGTGGTGGAAGTGGTGATCTCACACGAATTGGCCAAGGGAGGTGTGTGTGTGTGTGTCTACAACGGATATGGTGCATATGGTGATTGTGTGTTGCGGCTTCTCATTGTTTTTTTTTCGCTCTTTTCCTCCTTCCTGCGTGCAATCAAGTCCTTTTTCCCCGGCTATCACGCTACCACGGCTATCACGCCACGGCTTCCACGCCAGTTCTGGCTATCACGCCACCCGGCTATCACGCCACCCGGCTATCACGCCTTCCGGACATCCACGCCCTTACTTTTACCTTTACACCACGACTATCACGTCACCACAGGCTTCCACGCCACATCCAGAGATACCATGCCCGAGCTATCACGCTCCATCCCAAAGTAGAAGGCTGTCACGCCCATAATAGTCCCTACACTGCTGTACCGTTGGCGGGTACCGCGCCGCTGGCTCTTTTATTTCCCAACCAAGGGACCCCGCGCGCCAAGGCACCGACGCACAAAGCTACTCAGCATCTCTCAACAGCAGTGGTGCCTTCGTTTCTCTTCGCAGCTCTCCGACACACACAGCAGCAAGAGACCAACAAATATCTCGGGTTGTCTCCGCTCCTACGTACCTCTTCCGGATGATGGACGACGCGGCGGGTGGTGTGTGTCTGTATGGTCCAGACCAGGTCTTGCAGTTTGTGCAGCTGAGAGCTAGCTGCGGCGGTCGGGAGTGGGCGGGCTATGCTTGTCTCTCGAGATGATTGTTCCTGTTCGGGCCTTTCTGTTCTCCGAACGTCGATAAATGAAAATTCCGTTCCCATTCCTGTGATCGAAAATCATGATCCCACGTAATGCTGTCATACCACTCACAACGGACGATCCGCAATATCAATATAGATATTGCAAGAGATGGGGGGACTCGTGGTGCTGAGTTCGTACGAGAGAAACGAATGAATGTTTGCGCGGTTTGCGGATTGGTTTGAATCCGGATGTTGCCACACTGCGGTAGTCATGCATTATTATTCTTTTCTTAATGCGGTGGCATCGGCGGTCGGCATCACAACCAGCCGCTCCCTAATCAGAGGATCTGAGCGGGCCGTGCGCAAGCCTCCTCGAAAGCATACCCCCTGCTTGCATGGTCGCGCAGGTCTGGTGAGTACAGCAGTGTGCTCGGAAACTCACAATACTGCTAACAATAGCAGCAATAGACTGCTGTAGGTTTCGAATCTATCAACTTTGCACTGGTGATCGGTAAGGTACGTACCAAAAGGGCATAGTCTACCGCCGGTACCCGCCGGAAAATCATTATATATAATAGATTAACCTGCCGAGCGGCGATCTGTACAGGTTCCCACCCCCTACCGAAACTCTCGGCACGATCTGTGCAGACCTCCATACCCTTCCGAACACACCATCGCACACTGTGCATTTTACTTCTCGATGCCGGGAAAGGGTATTGAGGGGTGGCTGACGCTTCTCTCTTCTCGCGTGAAAAGTTGAAGTAAACCACGACGTGGCGTCATATATACCTCACACGTAAACCTGGCTGATTCGTTCAATATGCAGCGAAGAATTTAGACCGGCTTCGTCAGCACAGCTAGCTGCGGCAAAAACACAGTCGGAGGCAACAAATCTATCGGGAAGAGGATTCTAACAATTTCAGGGAGGAAAGGCTTTTGGCCCACTTGACCCAGTTCACAGTACAGCATGATGACCTATTTTCGCCCTGGTTGAGAACCAGACACAACCAAGAGTATTTCCGGACTACTGTGGAGTTCGTCTCTATTTTTTTTTGTCACATCCAGCCCCGTCAGATCAGCTTGACGAATAATATTTAGTGTACGTCAGGAACAAATACATGAGAATCAGCATCCCCGAGACCGCTCCTAGCTGTTCAAGTCTCAGGCGGAGGCAGTGCCGGCGAACTTGACACACAAGGAAGCAAGGTTTCGATTGAAGCAATGATCTCCACCATAGATGAGAAGGCAGGGTACGATATGTAGGACGTTGTGCAAGTACGGGCAGCTTGTGGACCAAGTCATCATTAACTTCTACTACAGCAGAACCGATGCTCGACCCTCATCCCACACGAGGAGGTCAGGCTGAGCCATATTTTCAAATTTTGTGGTGTCTTGTGATCGGGCCGATGCTGTCGGCGATACGGGGACGAAAGGCGAGTGAAGCGAAGAGTGAAACGGTTTCATTTTCTCGCCGTCCCCCAGGAAACCCCTAACACGCGTATAGCGAACACCCTTGAAAAAAATATGAAAAAATACTGAAAAATACTGGAAAAAAAAAAAAATCCAACCAACAAATACCCCGAACGCACAGAACAATAATATCAACGACAAAAACACGACGCCCGCAAAGAAGGGCTAAAAGCCGGCAAAACACAGAACGAAATAATATTTGCAGCTGTAGAGAAACCGACGGCAACAGGCACTTAAAAAAAGAATCTTTGAAATAAAACTGGCACCCCGAAATGGTCAATACGCGAACTTTCGTCCACACAATTGTAACTATGGGGGGGGATGGCTGCGGTTGCCATTAAAAAAAAAATGAGCTGGTGAGGAGGCAAGATACGTCAGCTTGAAAAGCTGCAGCTACCCGAACAGCTTCCGGACAAAACTTAAATAGGTCCCAATGCAAGGGTGCCCGAAAAAAAATTCTCCGACACCTAAGTACCCAATTTTCTTATTTGGGAGGTGTTCGGGGGCGGGGGGGTACTGGTGCTCTATTTCCTATAAATTATAACGCACAGCGGGCCCGCGGTGGGGAACCATTATTTTCCGTGGGGTACCCTATGCATGAGCTAGGATCCTTTCTTGCGAAACCCGAAGCCATGATCACACAAATGGGAACGTAGCACACCAAGAGAGCACCTACTCCACTCAAACTATGGGAGTAACGTCGTCACTTGCATGCTCGGGCTGACCCATTCATGCTAGAACCAATTACACCAAAACGCTCTGCAAGGGAGCGTAAACGAATGAGTTCCTGCGACTGAGAAACTGTTCGGAGGGATCGTCAATGGGGTCGAGACACAAAGCGTCCTGCTGAGTTAGATGTCACAACGAACGAGGAGTTTTTGACAAATCCATTTACTTGCTTCCTTACCCTTGACACAAAATTAAAACGAAGAAACACCCAACTGAGCCGAATAGACTACATTGGAACCGAAAAAAATCGAACGACACAAGGCGTTCGCCTACATCACACAGGATACACCTCGAAGTTCCGCTTGCTTCTAAACCACAACCCGACTTCTACGCTTCCGAGGAACAACGACTAAAACGAATAGCACATTCCGGCATTTCAACCACTCCACGGAACGACAAGTAGCACCGCGTACACAGCTTTCCGTCCGCATGATTGCGTCCAGCACACCTCTTAGTCGCGGCCTTCCGCCTCATCGGCCATGCGTTTCGCCACGAAGAGGCCCCTTGGAATACGCCAACAGCAACAATCACACACACAAATGAAGGGGATTTAGAAGCGTTTTGTGTTTCAACCGCACTAAGACTGACGTCTTTTCATTGGTCAGCCGCGTAGCACGGTCGATGCAAATAATAAAAACACACATGGGTGAAAAAAAAATACGGAAGGGTGTACCGCGGAAAATGGTGCAGCAGCTGGTCGCCCGGTGTGTACCCGGGAGTACCTCGGCTCGGAGATTGAAAGTAGTTGGTCAGTTCGGGGAAGGAACAGAGAAAAGCACTTGGAAGTGCTACAACACGTTACGACGTAAAGAGATATTTAAGAAAAAATAAGAGACGTTCTGGAATGTTCGGGAAAAGACTACGGCTTCACGAACAGGGGTCGGCAGTTTGGCGTTGCAAAGTCAACCACTTACGTACAGAGCGTCCGATCGAAACACAAAATTGCGGAGCAATAAACATTCATTGCAGAATGAGTGTGTCCGTGTCGAGAGCAGAGCAAAAGGGCACAACCACGTCGCTGCGCCAGGCGCAAGTGTGTCGGGCCCAAACACGAGTGACATTGCGTGGTCCTCCGGTCGGTATATGACATACATAACGGCGTTGTCAAAACTGGAAGAAAAAAAAACAAGAAGACCCACTAGCGAACGAGGTATTGGTCGATGCGCCCGTCCGCCATTCGTGCAAAAAAAATTGAATGTGGAGGGGATGCAACTCAAACAAGCTCTATTGCTTGTATGTAATACAGGTACACGCTTGTTTCTACTCGCGGAGAAACGGGCTTGGACTTTCCACCGCATCTACCGCAGCAGCACATGTACGGAAAACTTACATGTGCACGCCTTGTTTGCTCCAGAAACACCTGCAATAGCATGAGGCTTCAAGACCCCAACGACCTCAAAACGTGTAAGGCGACTAGACTAACACAACAACGGAACGTCTGTGCGATAAGGGGGAGAACCTGCCAGGAACGTATCGGGCCTTGTCCTCGCCCCAGCCTTAGTTCTCACCTCACTAGGTTGACGATTTCATCGACGTTTGGTTCATACCAAGAACTGCAGTCGTCGTCCCAGCGGTCGCTCCCGGCGTGCCTGGCATAGATGTGCTGGAGCTGTCGAACGCAAATGGGCAAAGGGTTCCGCCGATACGGGGCCAATCCCAATTAGCGTTTCGCGGGCCACACCGGCGAGTTTCTCGAGGTTCGATGCCACGCAAACCCAACGACCCTTGACAATTCCGAACTTAACAGACAGCAACCTTGACACCCGACCTTCCCGCTACCCCTCTCGTTTGTCCGAACGGCAGAGCCTCCCAATTCTCCGGTGAAACAAGAAACAAGTGCATCAAGCTGTGCTCAGCTTTTTGTAGATAAAATAAATTTCTCGGAAAATTCCCGTATGCAACAGCAGTTCCCGATGGGTGGTGCGCTTTCTTTCGTAGACACCGGTTGCTGGTTCGACCCGCTGCCAGTACTACTGCACTTTTTTTTTGTACCGCACCAAAGCTATTATAGCACATAGCCATATAGTCTAGCCATGTAGCCCTATTCCTGGCCCTAACTCCGACCCAACCGACCCAACCCAAACTATAGCCCCAAACTATAGCATTGGGAAAGTGCTAGGTCACTGTACCACATGCAAGCCTGGGCCGCGGCGAGCCGTTTAGGGTTAGGGTTAGGGTGTGCACCGTCAGCGCTAGGTTGCTGCACGGGCGAAACGCTAGGTTGCTGTGGCGCGATAACATTCTAGGTTGCTGCTGTGTACCGTTTAGGCTAAGCCGAGGCCTAAGAGTGGTGAGGGCTACGTTGTAGGGCTATTGCTGCAGGGCTAGGTTGCTGTGCACCGTTAGCGCTAAGGTTGCTGCACGGTGAGAGGTTAGGTTGGCACTACTAGAGGTGTGCACAACAGAACCAGAACAATAACGAGAATATTCCGGGAGCCTTATTAATCGACAAATGAGCAAGCACTACTGAATCCATCGCCCGTGTGAAAGGTTGCGACAAATGCATTGCCAAAATCAACAGTGAAGTAACGGCGATGGTTGCGTTCCACCATACAGCAGTGCACCCGGTCTTCACATTGCCAACCTACCACCCACACCAGCCTGGTCCAAAAGCCGACTCATCCTGTACAACAAGGCACAGACCTACAAACGCCGACCGCAGCGTCCGGCAGGACGCAAATACCGACAACCAACCATTGGTGCTCCGGACCGAAAACACCGAACCGGATCAGCAACCGCATCACTCACCTTGATCGCCATGTTAACGTAGCACGTCGGGCACTCGATGGGACCGATCTCGAGGACCATGGTGTGGAGCGGCGAAACCACGATGTTCGCAAGCCCGGCCCCATGGGGGGCCACAATGACGGACGCTGTTGCGAAAAGTTCAAGCTGCTCTCGGATCGGGTCAGTGCCGAAGAACTCAACCACGTCGTGGTCTGGGAAGTTCTGGATAAGGGCATCTCGAACCTGCGTGCGTGCGTGCGTGCGTGTCTTTATTATTGGCATCGACCGCGCTAACCGGCTGACCAAGCGTATGTGTGTGTAGTTACCATTAGCATCGACCACGCTAACCGGCTCACCAATGAAAAGATGTCAGTCTTAGTGTGGTTGAAAACAAAAAAATCACTTCAAATGACATGAACTGGGACCCCGTGAGGGACCCGTGAGGGGGCGGCCTGGGGGAGGCTTAGCTTTTTGCCGAATGAAAGACATGCGCGCGTGCTTTTCGTTTGAACGTACACACATACGGAAAAAAAATGAGGACGGTGGGGAAGTCAGCGTGATTCTCCCGCGTTTCGGCGATAACATCGAAACAGCAGTGCTGCCATCACAACACCGGCGTGACAGACTGCTTACACAAGGTGCATGGTGACTCCTAGTCTCAGCTGTTACCTCGCATAGCGCGCAGAGGGAGTGGAGGACTCCAGAATATCTGTCGTTGATTTCTATTGACTTGCGGACCCCTCAGGGCCATTTTATTTGAGTGTACCTTTTAAGGGTAAGTTAGCCTGCGACCACGGGATTCGACCGCGTCGAGTGTTGGATCAGTACGGACATACATACGAAGGTACTGGGTAGAGAGAGATCGGAACGGTTTTTATTGTGAAGACAACAACAACAACAACAACAACAACAAGTACGGCGTGGCACTGGGGAACACTTCAGCCTCTAGAATGAATTCGCCGTTGACAATGGCAAGGCTCGAAAGTATACACATGGGGAAAATGTTTGTCTCCTCGCCTTGCGACAACCAAGAAATGCAAACCCATTGCGTCACCCCTGTTACGCCGCCAAAGCCGAAACGGATATTGTATTATATAGTAGGCGGGTCGGGCAACACGTTCGTCCAGCCCGAACAACCACTTCCGTACCGCACTCACCGCTTGCCTTAGACGGCAAGCTCTCGCCGTCACCCAGGACTACTACCACAAGCAGACGTAAAGGCGCACACATACCTCGTCGTTGTTTCCAAGGCCCCGTTTATTCGCTCGCACGATTAGCACCATGATCGGCTTCGGAGGAATAGGCGGCACGCCTCCTGTGTCCGGGTACATCCCCTGGGGAAATGTTCCGGGAAGTGAGTCAAAGGAACAACCCGATACAGGAGGTCGCGGCGGGTGGAGGTGGTGATCGCATAAATACATGACAAACAGTGTGCCCTTTGCACGAAATAGAGACAAAAACAACTCGAAAAAAAACGCAGCGAGGCTCCCGAACACGCTTGCCTTTCTCGTGCAGCACATCAAGTAGATGGGAGGCGTTGCCGCAAGAGAACAAAGGAAAAAAGTAAGACCGCCCCATGCATGTGCCCAAAACTGCTGTGACCCGCCCTTGGAAAGCAAAAGAGAGCCCTGCTGCCAACCAAATGCTGTGCGCTGCATGCTCCAGTACCACTGTGAGCCGGGGTAAACAAGCACAAACAGCACTGCTGCCAGTGTCCTGCGGTACGCAGACTTACCAGGATGGGCATTTGATCCGTATCCATCAGGACTCCATCCCCGAAGGAGGGATTGATGGAAGGCTTGAGTCATCACACACAAAAATTCCTCTTAATATCCTTCGAAACAGACATATGTAGAGGGTGACACACGAGCGCCCAACAAACATAATCACGAATAGCATCCAACCACAGTGATGTGTACCCCTAAGTATTGATGCCACGGAGCCCTGAGTCTCCGTAGATCATTGACCACACACAGAACCCGAGCATACACGCCTCTCGGCACCTACCTGCAGAAGGGCGTGTCTCAGCAGAGTCACCAGTACGGCATTGGGCTTGCCACACACTGTCGCAGGGGGCACGAGCGCTAGGTCCGCATGAATCTGAAACGTAAGAAAAACAACAACAGCCCACGAAACGCAACAAACAACCCCACGAGAAGACAGGCGGTTTCGATAAATATTAAGCCGAGAAAAGCGTTGGGCTTGCAGAAAATACGGTAGTCATCAAAGCAGCTACAGTAATTCGACGGGTTTTGCTGCTACCCAAGACACTCGAGAGCGCATGGCTTTTGCCGAGACCCGGTTGACACCGGCGACATATGCTTCCGAAGATCTTCGGCACGCCGTTTGGAACATATCGACGAGAAAGCAAACCAAGAAAACGACAGAGTCGCAGTCATGCACACGTGTGCTTCAATTTGATTTCGTCGTCAAGCTACCCCGCGGCCACATTGCTCCGCCTCTGATGAAATTGCCGTAAAATGGGCGGTCCGCCCGCACAGCAGTACGCACATAAAAAGCATGTTCCCTGGGGTTTCCCGACCACCCGCTTGATGAGGGTTACAAGTCGCGCGTACCCCGTAACAAAACAACACACCACCCGTCCCTGCTCTCTCCAGAATGCCAAAATCATTTCTCCCCACTTCTTTTTCCAATGTCAGACGCGACACGATGAGAGCTTGGCCAAGGGAATGCCGTTTCTATGGAAGAGCCGTTCTCTTTTTGCTGCGCCGTCGAAAAAGTCGGCGAGGAAATGTATCACCCCCGGAGCCGGAGCTGGCGGACAACAGCAATGAGGAGCGAAGGCGCAATTCGAAGCAGCGCAATGTACCCCCCCCTCCCGCTTTTCGACATGAAAACGCGACGAGAAGAAATGGACACCAATTCTTTGTTGCCTCTGGGAGAAATATCAAGGGCCAGCAAACCAATAAACCACACCACACACCTTCTCGATAAACATTACGCGCTCTTGCGAGATGCCGAGGAGTTCGAAGAGCCCGTATATGTACTCCCTGTGCTTTTTGGATATCGAATGAACCGCCACCTTCGCACGACGCCGTCACAAAACAGGTGCGGTTTTTTGGGGTGTGAATGAAATGTGCGGGACGGAGACAGAGAGAAAGAGATCTCGCCACCATGGGAGGGAAGTGCCGACAAAGGACCGCTGTCAACCAAATGCATAAGGCGAGTGCCTTCACGAAGTATACCGTGTACATGCATACCTACACGCTTGAAAGAACCTGAGAAGTTCCACCTTGGCATGTTTTTCTACGGTGAAGATGAGGGGGCGAGAACAGGATTTCACCAAGCGGCATGTCGACGGCATGGGGTCATCATGAAGCTGGTCGCATGCGTATGTACCCGCCCGGAAAAAAAGGAACGAGAATTGTGCCACCTTGATATCGGGATTTTCCAGAAGCACGTCCAGAACGATGGTGATTCGCGACAGGTTCTCCACCAGGAGATGGTAGTACGCTAGCCCGTACTCCTGCGTCAGCACAACCACCTGGGGGAGGGGCACGGCGCCCAGGAAAATCGTTCACGATACCGACAACAGCGCCGCGAAGGAACCAATGACACAGAATACTTGAGGCGAACCAATGCTGCAGTAAACATCATCCAGGATCACAGCTCAGCCGTGAGCCCTACGGTGACTCCTGACACGAAAGAGCGTATACGCTACTTTGGCGGAAGCGAAGGCAGCGAAAATCTCGTGCTGCTAACACTACTGCTGCTGTGGTACATGAGTTTCGTTACGAAACTACGCAGGTCTCGCGTGAGCAACGACGCCATGAACAACTGATAACTGCGCATGCGAGACGCACGTTGTTGTCACCCAAGAAACAACGGCAGCAGAGCGCGTGACACTCCTGGAGCAACAGCAGCAGCAGCGCTTGTCGCTCGAAGGCATTGATTGCATCACGCCCTCCCAAAACGGGCCCAGGACTTTGTGCAGTTGGAGCACAACCATCTCGAACATTTCGGAGAAACAACCTTATAAAAAAACACGGAGAAACTATCGGAGGTTTCGGAGCAAGGATACATTAAAACAACTTTTGGAGAAACTATCTTGGAGGTCTGGAGAGCAAGGACGCGGTGTCCCAGGAGAGACAAATGGCGTCACAATGCAAAGAACAAGAATCCTGTACGATACGATACCTTGCCGTGGCGCGCCTCTCCAGGCCCGAGCCTCGTCTCATTAGTATCGACGTTCCTCCCGTTGACCAACGACTGGCAGGAGTTGGGCGCCACCAAGTTCTGCGAAGAATACACGAAGGGAGGAGGAGCGTAGCAGTCGACAATCGATTAAGGCAGGCCGCTACTACTCCCGATGCATGCAACAGTAACCCCGCCTGACGTGGCAACAGAACCAAAATGTTTCACTGCTGATAACAGGCGGCGCAGATCAACCCCAAGATGAAATATGGTGATAGAGCCTTGTCTTGCCATGTTCAGAAGAACACGTGCTCTTCCATGACAACAACAAGCCCAAACACACGATGGAATACGTACGTCGATAGAACAGAGCTGTGCCTTGTCATTCCACAAGAAGCAATGTTCTTCGACGACACAAAAAAAAACACATGCACCCAAATGCACCAAGGAATAAGCTGACAGAGCCCCGCCCTGTCGTTCCAGAAGAAGCCGTGTTCTTCGACGACACAAAAAAAACACACATGCACCCAAATGCACCAAGGAATAAGCTGACAGAGCCTCGCCTTGTCGTTCCAGAAGAAGCCGTGTTCTTCAACGTACACGTCAGCCATGCTCACGACCGCAGGCACGCTTTCATACCCATCGCTCGCCTCCTTGACCACCGTGACTTCAGTGGCGTAATTGGTACTCAGGTACCTATCGGAGGAAGAAAGACGAGGTTGGCGGGACGATGGCCGAAAATATCGGACGGTCGCGCAACGCCGTGGTGAGCGTCATTCTGAACATGAGAAGAATCTGTCAATCAGGACAGAACGGTTGGCATGGCGTGGTCAACAATATCAAACAGAAAGATCAAGCAACGCAGTGGAGGAACCGTCAATATGGTGCGAGGAGACCAATCTATCCAACAGAAACTAAGGCTAGCGCGTAGACAATACGGTGTGGCAACAAAGCAAGCCGACGTCAAACACAACCCGTCATAACAAATCAAGCATGGCGCTAAGTTTGCGTTCACAACGCACCGGCCGCCAACCCGGAAGCAACAAAAAAAACACTTCTGCGTGCCGCCGCTTCGCAAGAGTTGCCGGTAGGCTTGCCATACCCACCTGCAAGCCACCTGCACGCTACGCGTTCTTCCCACACGTTTCGTGTTCGTGTCAACCTACAAGCAGGGGGTTGTAGATCGTATTTTAGTCTGTTTTTTTGGCTTCACTTCAAATCAGCGTTCACAGCACTTGTGCCGTTCCTTCCGACCCTCCTGCGGTACTTTGCCTTCGATGTTAAATGCGAGAGGAGTGCTGCGCTCTCCTCCCTGGCATGTGCTACTGTATCACGGCCAACCGTCATCGCACGGCTCAATATAACCTCTCACATTGCCGCCATATCGTCACCCTCCTCGACGGCGTCGAGAAACTTCTGCGAAATCGGCAGCTCGTACAGCCCTGGGTGCTTCACGAGCATCATCCTGAGGAGGAGGAGGAGGACGTCCACGGCATCACACGCGGAGTGAAGAAAACACCACCGTCTATTGCGACAGAAGGAAGTGCCGAAAGGCGCACGCTTGTCTTCACACCGAGCGCTAGGCGCCCTTCCGCAGTTGAGCACCATCGACCTAACTTGGCTGTTCTGCCACGAACTGAAAGCTACCAACTCATGAACGCAACAAGAAATATCGCGCCGGAGACCTCCACACAAAACACGTGCCGCAGAACAACAAGGGCCGTCCACCCGAACAAACGTGCCCACTCCACGACCAAACCACAACAACGATCGGGGTGAGCATCCCCGCCCTCGGTCCCGCGTCATGAATACCCCTCTCTCGTAACCCCACACGCCTGCGGGTGTCCTTTCCGGGTGGTTTCCCGCGAGACCACGCGAAATGACTTTCCCCGGCGGAAGTAGCCACCACCAACCCTATGCTAATCTCGCGAAAAAATGGATCTTGTGTGTGCGAACATGTCATGGAAAAGTGCTACAGGTCCGCACGCGACGATCGAGCGGGCCCGAGCGAGTCAGTGAGGCCCCACCGAAGACTCCATAATGACGAGCATTGCCGATTTGTAACGGCGAGGAACACACACGGGTGCGCGTTGTTCAGCAGCCGCAAAAATTCTGAGGTCGTGCCTACCTACGACAAGACAATACCAGCTTGGCAGGCGTTCATCACCCCCCAAAGACAACCAGCTACTGGCTAGCACCACGCGACACGTGCATGTTGTTGCAGCCGCAAAACTTCACCGGGTCGTGCGTACCACCGACACGACAAGCTTATAGCAGGCGCTTATCGCCCCAAAAACAATCAGACAGCACGTTGTTTGATCACGCCTACCTTGAGAATAGAGACTCCTTGAAGATCGGGAAGTACGACTGAAGCGTCTTGACGTAGTCCAAGCTGTTCGCTGGCGAGAGCAGCCGGGTCGGGGAGGATTCCACGTCAATGAGCTCCGGTCGCCGGACAACCACGGCACCATCCACGTGCGACATCTCTTCGGCCAGATCCATCCACTCTTCGAGGATGTGCTCCCCCTGCCCATGGACGGAAAAAAACAAAAACAAACATACACGCTGTGGGATCGTGCAAAAGACACAAACATTAACATCAGCGGTGGGAGATACATATCGGACGAGGAAGGGTTGGAGGACAACACCGTAGCACGGCACACACGGGTGTTACCGCCGCGCGCGGGCGCAGTCAAGAAAATGAGGAAACAAAGACTCAAACTTGTCACGAACACAAAGAAACAAGGGTCAACAAGCAGGATATCTTCATGCAGGACGAGGAAGGGTTAGGACAATATCGCAGCAGAGCACGCACGCCGGTTTTTTTCTTACACAGCCCGCAGCAGAGAATATGGAGAAACGCAAGGCGGAGCTTTTCACGGAAAAAGAAAAAAAATGGGTCAAGAGAAACACGGCTCAGCCCAGACCCTACACGAAAACCAATACAACAGCCTGTACTCGACGGTGGCATGCACCCATTTTTTTTTTACTTTCTTTTCGGCGGGGAGCGCACTGTTCTTCAATTGCCCTCGCCAAGAGCGTCTGCCGAGACTGGTATTTTCGCTTTCCCCTCCCCCCTCCCTCCCCCCCGGTGTTTGCCATCGGGGTTGGGTTTTCGTCGCTTGGCAACGACGTTGTAAAACAAGCCAATTCACTTCGTGAACTCGGCAACCAGGTTACCGGTTTTTTTTTACCTCCGGTGTTTTTTTTGGCGGTAACCATTATGGTGGTCGAGTAGATCATGTTGTGCGGGGTGGAGA